AATCGTCAATGCTGCAGCAGTCCAAATCCATCACTGCATGCTCCAACTGACCAACATACTTGCGTGGGGGCAGTGGCGCAGAACAACACAGCCATGGCCATTTTATCATTTGAAAATGGTTGCGAATCGTATGTGGCGCACGGGTATCGTGCCTGCTTTGCAGGTGATGCCAGCGATGACCACCCCCTTGTGGGGGGGCTGAGGATCGGCAAAGAGGACGATGAAGGGGCGCCCGACGGCGACGGACAGTACTTTCACTACCTGACCAAGTGGATGTTCGCGCTCATGAGGATGTCAGAGGCGCGTGGCGATGACAAGTACCTCAAGTGGGCAGTTGAAATGGCACAGGTGAACACCAATTTGAAGTTGGGTGACACGATGTGTACTGGTGTGCGCACGGCAAGTGAGTCTGAAGCACATGCAGGGCTGCTGCTACAGCGTCATTGCCACATCTGCATGTGAGCCATCAACGGTACGGGGCACATAGGATCACGAAGCATCTGGAGTGCGACCTCAAGGGGACATGGCAGGCATGGACGAGGTTCATGAAATTCTTGAGGTAGTTTTTTTTCTTCAAGTTGTAGTTTAAGTCGTAAAAAGTTGTGCACATGCTTCTTGCGTACCAAAGGGGGCAGCTTCTGCCAAATGTGCACATGATGATGTCTACCGTCGATCATGAGGTACGTGAACCGCCTTGGCATACTGTTAATAAGGGTGCCTACTAATGTTATTTACCTGCAAAAGTTTGAGCGGTTCAGTATTTGAGTGCGGCACATGCGGGAAATCAACGCACCATTTCAGCAGCACCAAGCCTTGTGTACACTTACAGTTCGTGAAATGTAGATTCCAATGACGTTTGTGTGCGCAAAGGCTCAAGGCTCGAGCAACCTGGATGCAATGCACACCATACTATTATCCGCATGCTGCGAACATTTCAACCAGTGTCAGCCACCCTGCCCTACCAAAAACTTCTCTGGAAGCATGAATTTTACATGAGGTCCCAGCTGTAAACCTGGTTCATTGGAATTTCTTGCGCATGCGCCTAATTGTCACGTACACGTGGGCTATTGACGCTGCACCTATTCTTGGCGAGCTTATTGTTGGCTCATTAATGTACAATGCGACTTCTGGTACATCAGGCTCCTGGTTGCAGCTCACACTTGCGGTCAACATGCGAGCGCTGACTGCAAGTCACAAGCAAAGCTTGTGCGAAAGCATAACAGCCTCATGATTTCCGGATGTTGGATGCGCGATGGAATCTCGCTTGGCTTGCAGGCTGCGTGCATGTACAGTGTCAGGCGTAATGACGCGCATTCATAGGCTCGAGGGATATCTCAGCCCTATGAAGATGCGCCTGCCCTCCTCTGCCCTGCCGCATGAAGAGCTTGCAACATGTGCACTGCACGTGGACACTGCCCTGAACTTCAAGCTTCGGCACGCACTTATAGCAAATATGCAGGCACAGTCATGAATATGTGAAATTCATGTTTATGATTTCCCATTCATACGCCTTGCATCATGTCCGCTTCGAGCTTCTGCTGGTTTGCCACTTTCGCGCCCACTTCTGGATGGCATTCCAACACTTTGCCACCAGCCTATGTGTCACGGTTAAACATGCTGTGCAGTTGCAGGACTGTGTTCTCAGCGCCCACAGAAATTGGTGCCTGTTGAAGCTTACATGACGCCTCCCTACTGGTTCGTTGCACTGCCTTCATACCCGCGATTGTCTGGCAGGCGGTGCACCCAAGGTTTGTGAACATGCATCTGGGGCGCATGCACTGGAAGATGTCCATCGACCTCGAGAGGCCCCTAGTCCCAAGTGAGGGCCATCTTGACCCCCTGGACGGCCTGGTCACCTACAGGTACAAATTGAACAGTGATCGATCTGTGACAGCAACAAGATAGCGATGATTATGGTGGTTGCAGACTTACAGACATCCGGGAGTCTGACGCAGCTGGGCCTCTTTGCCGCAGCACGCAGTATCAGCCACTGCGACGATGGTGTTCTCAATTCCGTGAATCATTGGAATTTAGCCTACGTTTGTTAACGGCAAGCAGGCTATGATGGTGCGTTGCCATTGTGGCACGGAGGGACAGCAGCGTTGCAACAGGTTGCTGGCAGAGCACTTGCTGGACTCAAAATGTTGGTTGGTTTTCACAGGCGGAGCCACGGGGATGCCATGTGCATGATGCTTCAGTGCATGCGTGACTGCGCCTTCACTTGCAATGATTATAGTCTGCTGAGTCATAATGGCGGCGCCCTGAACAATTGCGTTATTCCAGGTTGCTGGGGGCTGTGATGTTTCAGCGCTGTATGTACCCTATTATCGGTGCCTCTGCTGCGCAGCTTTGCGTGCTGTTTGCCAATTGCCATTGACAATTGGGCATTCACGTGAGACAACAACATGGCTCGTTCTGCAGCAGCTCAAGGGCGCGATGCATCATGTGGAAAATGAGGGAATGGTGACGACCTCCGGAGCTACTGACCCACATGCCATCATTGCTGTACAGCGCTGCTTGGTAGAGGTATGACTGCAGTAGCACAGAATCTGATGTGAAATGTACATAGTTAAGGCAACTTTGCAACTTGAAGCGCTCACCGCTACTGTCCTGCAGTGCAGGCTGTCACACAATGTATTGGGCGTGGGCATACGCTGCAGTTGCGGTATTAATGGTTGCACTCCATCCTGACATCAGACCGCACTTGTGGCATACACCCTGACTTATATGCTGAATGCCATGCGCTGCGGCAATGCAAAATCTTTGGAACAGCGCATACACAAACCATGTGAATCTTTGGCATCACCTACCAGCTCTGCAAGACATAACACCCTATTGCTATTGTGTTGCTGTTCAGACTGCTACACGACGCCAGCGGTGGCGGAGACGTGCTGCGCAACGAGATCGCACAGATGGAGACACTGGTCAACAAACGCTATGCTACCTTCCGTAGCACGGATCCTCTTGACGCGGGAGAGGGCATATGGCTCACCGCATGGTGCGAATGTCGATGCATGAACCTCTGTGATAGATGCACGCTGTTCCTGCGCTGAGCCTTGTGGTCTGCGCACAGCCCTTGATAGGGTTCGCAGTGACTGGCTCGTTGCAGTGCATATACTGTCGTGCCTCCTACATGTACCTATGAATCACACAAATGCCACATCACAGGCTGTGGCAAGATGACACGTGTTTTGAACCAGTGACATTTGTGCTGGCAGATGGCCATTGCATCCGATGAGTCAATTGCCAGCGATGATTGCATCACCGCTACTACCAGAGTTAGATTCCCCAAAAAATAGCGGTTGCGTAAGCCATAGCTAAACGCCCTAGCCCTCCACTGCTCTGACGCGCAGGTATGCAGAAGAGTCATGGTCCCTGCGCCTACTCAACGAAGCCCTGGACAGCGCCAGCTCACTCTTCCGCATGGGGTACTTTGAGCAGCCCCGCGGCTACCGCCTGCTCTTCCGGGAGATGGGCACAACGCTTGGGATTCAGGCCGCCGCCGCCGTCATTTCCACAGCCGATGCCACCAAGCCCGCTGCCAGTGGCAAAGAGGCCCATGCCCCGTTCGAAGGGGGGGCGTTGCAACCTGCCCGGGCGGGGTCCCAGAAGCCAGGAGTGACGCTCCCTTTCAACGCGCGCATGTGGGAGGGGCGAGTTGACTCTCTGCACAGGTACTGGGACAATCACATCTTTGATCGGGACCGCGACATCTCGCCGCTCATGTACGCATCCAGCCTGCTACCCACCGCATGGCTGCCCGCACCCAGGGCCTGACCGAATCTTCTGGAGACTGGCTTTCTGTTCACACCTTTCAGTACGCCAGGGGTCACCTGGCTCAGCGGCTGAGGAAAATGGTGGGTGGTGTGCGGTGCGCAATGGGTCAAGTGTACATACTGAATATCTGCCACTGGCGGGCACATGCTGCAGCGGCATGTTGAAACCCTACATGTATCTGCTTGGCCAAAGGTGACGATCAGGGTGGCCACAGGCGCAAGAGGTCATCAGTGTATACTATATTGACTCTGCCGGCAAGGAAACCGCATTCAGGTAGAAGGCAAGTCAGGCGCGCTGGTTACTTCGGCCACCACCATTGACTTGATGCAGCCAGTGAAGGGGACAGAGGTGTCTTTGCAGCCTGTTGTGGCAGCCATCATTCATGTTCGTGCTGCTACTTGTATGCTTCAGTTTGGCAGACATCATGGTCCATTCTGTTCATACTACTGCAGCATGCTTGCATCCTTCATTTGCGTAAGTTGAGTCCAAAATGCCAGCCAGATGTGGCATGTATTGCACATGCGAGTTCTCTACACGCCGACCATGGTCCCCATTTCTATAGACAAGGTATACATACCAAGAAGGCGGCGCCCGGGCGTATACACATGTTGCCTATGAATACTTGGCTAGCAGCAAACGCTGTGTTTGGCCTTCGCGCCTCTGCCAATGGTATTCACTGCACCACCTCTTGGTGCTTCTAGTACTACTAGTAGAGAGGATGATATATCAGAGGACATGTCTAGGAGCCCTGAGGCATGCTGACAACAGAAGACGTAGTACCCTCTTCTGTCTCACTGCCACCAGCATCAAGGCAATGCGCCTACCTACATGACATCATGCTTCACACGCCTTCTATGCATGGTCTGGCCGCTGCTGCTGCGATCTTGCCTCCCACATACGTGTGTGCATATGCCTGTGCTTGCTGCCATGTGCTTGATTTTATTTGTTGCTTGATTTTATTTGTTGGCACCAGAGTGTGTTGGGGGTCGGGGTACCCGTGTGGGGGAGAGTTAGGTTAGGGTTGTGTCCCACGTGAGGGAGTGCACAAGAAGAACTGCAGTTGAAACAAATGAAATTTTCTTTCTTCCGGCTTGGAAATATATATTTAAATGAAGCCAACAACAAGCGCTTCAACAGGCATGATCAAGTTCGAAAAAAGAAGCAAGGACACCATGCACGACATGATGCACTTCACCAAGTATTGAGAAAAAAATGGATCCGAGTAGTCACAACGGGGCTCGAACCCGCGACCTTAGCCTTATCAGAGCTACGCGCTACCAATTGCGCCATGCGACCGGACTGACGTAGCGGTGGTCAGTGAGTTTGTGACTCTTGCGTTTCTTGCATTGCTGTGTACAGGCCAGTTGTCATGAAGCTGTTTGCTGCGGACCCTCAATGTTAGAGGTTTCAGCCAGCAATTGACAAGCGTAACATGCATGTCTCGTGGCTGCTGTGTGTTCATGTTGATGAAGAACTGAGCAGGTTCTACAGACCTAGTACTTGGTTGATGCACATCGTGGCTAGCCATCAGAGAGCACAGCCAGAATGATGCAACTTGGAAGACTCCACAATTGTGCAGTCAACCAGGCTCTGATTGGCTACCACGAAAAGAGTACCTGGCAAATTCCTCACCTGAAGCTGCAGGAGCAAGACCGGATAAAATGCATCCCACCCAAGCATACACTGGAATGTGCTATGCTGCACCTGAGTAACGTACGTGTCAGACATGTCAGGTGTATAGACAGTTGAACAAACCGAATAAAATGCATCCCACCAAGCATACACTGGAATGTGCTATGCTGCACCTGAGTAAAGTACACGTCAGACATGACAGGTGTATAGACAGTTGAACACACTGGTAGGTGTATATACTCAGGTTACACAGGTACATGTACACACCCGTTGCGACACTTTCAGACTGTCATACGACATGTAGATTCCGTACAGCTAGATGCCCTAACTCTATGGATCAATAACATTAAGTTGAAGTGCTAATTTCATTTCTTCTTGACCTACAATTGCTGTAAAAGGAAATATAGGTGTTCTATATATATATATATATACAGGTGTTATATCTAATAGGTGTTCTACTTTTTTTGAATCCGTTTTTTTAGAAATAAATTTTCGAGCTGCTAGTGTGGCAGACTTGTCGAATACGCCCGTTTTGCCCTCCAGTAACAATATTTTGCCCAGGAATTTACACCGAGTAGAGTAGAGTAATTACTTGGTCCAATCCAGGGCCAAATTCTCGGATACAACAAGTTCAAGTTCAGGCACCGAGCAAGTACGAATAAATATTTCAAGTATTTACTCGAGTTTTTCTGCCACTGCCACCGAGTAAATATCGAATAAAAATGAGAATACTCATGCTCAAAGTGTGCTGCACATCAAGTGGCCAATGCTATCCGCTGCGTTCATCGCGCTGATTGTGCCTCTCCACGTGTGATATTTGGCGGACATTGATTATGGCGTTCCTGCTGGCAGAAACACCCGGGAGAACACCGGGGAAGAGGGGGCATTTTACTCTGATTTTACTTGGCTTTCCAAGTAAAATACCAAGTAAATATGGGAGTCGCTGAGCATCACAGAGTACAGTAAGAATAAAGAATAAATACTAGGTGCCCTCAGAAGCTACCGAGTACAGTAATTACTCAGTAATTATTCGAGTACGCCGCCACATTATCCCACTATTCTGCTCATTATGACCAGAATTGCTACAAACTTGCCACTTTGGCAATCCGGTCTTTTGGCAGTATCGGGGGGCAGGGGCGGAAGCTGCTGGAGGCTGTGGCGACGGAGTATGCCAGCAGGATGTCATTGCCCGGAGGAGCGCGCCCTAAAGCACTCAAGGGCATCGCCCTGGCGCGCTTACGCTCGGCACTGTCGGCAGCGCTCCACATGGCGTACTCTGGCCGTGTCATGACACACATGGCAGAATCCAGGGGGGGGGGGCACATGGAGGAGGACGTAGGGGAGGATCCCGAGATGCCCTTTGGCGGCGGCGGCGTTTGAGTGGTGGTCGTTGAGACACTTTCAGAAGTCACACAACATGCAGATTCCATACAGCAGCATCAAGTTAGACCATCATCTGGGCTTTTTTGCGCCCTGAGCGAGAATTAATAAAAAGTCACACGACATGCAGATTCCGTACAGCAGCATCAAGTTAGACCATCATCTGGGCTTTTTCGCGCCCTGAGCGAGAATTAATAAAAAGTACACCGAGTAACAATTATTTATTCGACAATTCGTCGACTCTGCAGTGTTGTACACACTGAACCTTGGCTGGCACATATAGTTGGCAACAAACTTCCTCCATAATGTGTAGGGTCGCATGGCGCAATTGGCAGCGCGTAGCTCTGATAAGGCTAAGGTCGCGGGTTCGAGCCCCGTTGTGACTAACCTGCCAGATGTAGATTTTTTTTCCCCCCAGCAAACGGGCGTGGACGCATGTGTACTTATGATCTTGTATTTATAGCAGCCCCAAGGTGGGCTTGATGCGTTGGATAAGATTGCAAAAAACTAAAATCGGACGGGCCCTTAGAGCCCTGCGTTGCAGGCTTGTACTAGACTCATGGGGGGTAGACACAGCGGCACCCAGTCTGAGCCACACCTATCGTAGCCGATGTCTCCATCTCTTGAGCGAAAACGCCGGAGGACCGCGGTTATGCCTCTAGTATACATTTGGGCCAGAGGCGCCCGGTCCTCGATTCCTTGCATAAGCACGCCGCTGACGTGCCTGGCCGAGGTTCTCTTTCTTGCGTGTTCAAGCAAACGATCTACAGTGTGCCCTGATGCTATCCGCATCCCCATGTTCCAATATCCCCTGCTGCTGCCCAAAGCCGTATCCTCACCACACGCGACTCCGCAGCTCCTGCTCACAGTCAGAGCCAGCATCTCCCATCCCCTAGCTGCCTGATGCACCCTCGCCACCATCAGCGCCACCGCAAGCGCTGCCGCACCTCTCGGTGCTAACGAGCAGCTGGTGTACACAGATCACATCTGTTTTTCTAATTTTTCTAACAACCCCTCTAGGTAATCTATTGTCTTTGACTTGTGCGCAGCCCACTGGCACCATTGGCATTTACTCTTTGGCATGTACTCTTTGGTTCATCTGCCTTTTCTGCTGTGGGGTGAAGCTACTTCTTCAAGAGTTGGAAATGACAATTAGGTAGGCCAAATCTGGTGCACAGACGTGCAGTGTCTGAGTTAAGGGAGTGCGCATGTCACGCAGACAACGGCAGGACGGAACACGACGGGCGATAGCAAAAGCTCAAGTACCTACTCTTGTCGGCGGTGTCGTGTAGACGATGGCAAGTGCAACACGTCCAAGGCACTGTGACGATTGGATTTGCGTACACCTCGTACGTGCAATTATGCAGTAAGTCCTAACCCTAACCCTACTTAGTGCGCAACCTGAGTTCATCACAATTTATTTTTTTTCTTCCAAGAAACGCTGTGAGGACCTGAGTGCGACAGCGGCTCCGGAGGGCAAGGCTTCAGAGATACGAGCGTGGTGGACCTGTTCTGTATTGTTGGTAAGCTGCAGCCCAGCACCTGCAGTGCTAGGCTCTATCTCAGATCTGCAGAACCTGTTCACACCAGGAGGCGAGGACACACAGCGACGACGAGGTGTAGCTGCCAGGCAGACGCCAGCCTGCGGCTGCAGCGGACGCCACCATGACTTCCGTCGTCACATCTCCGTCGCGCAACGGCAGCCATGCCTTGCCACCAGAGGCACCCATGCAGCAACAGATTGTTGGCATCTTATCCCCCAGATCTGTTGCGGCTGCAGCCGCAGGGACAGGCGGTGGGTCTGTGTCCTCCGCAGGAGCCAGCTCCGTAGGCTACGACATAGAAGACCCTTCTCCCGTTGCAGAGGAGAGGCGGTCACCAGAACGAGTGCGGTCGCGCCGCTCGTCTGCTGAAGCGCATCACCATCATAGCCGCTTCTCAACATCTGCTTCGCAGCCTGGGGGAGGCTTGGGAGGGCTCGGAAGTGAGGGAAGCATGATTTCGATAGCGCAGCAATTGCCCCGGCCGCAAAGGTCACACTCCCACGAGTCGCAGGGAGTAACGGGGCGGCGGGGAAGTAGAGGACCGTATCCTTCTCCATCAGGTAGGTCGATTGCATGCACGTCGCAAATGCTTACATACTTCATGAAGTCTGTAAAAGTCGGGTTACTGTGGCTTGAACTCATGCACTGTACTGGAGCACAATGTCGACATCTGCCAAAGTGCTTCCCCAGTCGCCTTTGAGCTGATGTCTCAGCCAAGGGATCAATGAATGGCACTAAAGCATGGGCTGTTCCATGACATACCATCACCGCGCGAGGTGCCATGCGACATCCACAAGCTTTTCAGCAGCGTAGGTGTTGCGCGTCCTTCTCGTGTACCGCTCACACACGTGTCATACATACGTGCACAGCAAAGAACGCATTCATTCACTTGTGTATTCACTCAAAAGACAGTGCCTCAAGCGAATCAGCAAGGTCTCTCAACACAATCCCCCTGCCCGCTGCGCCCCCCCAGACCGCAGCAGCGGCGGCGACACATCCCCGGGCTCGCTCCACTCGCGCAGCCAGAGCCGGCAGCGCGGGCGTGGAACGCGCGACAGAGACGGTCGCAGTGCTCAGCACGATGCGACGCAACACATGCCAGGCGCAGGGGGGGGCGGCGGGGGGCCTGACGATGCCAGCGAAACCAGCGAGCCGCCGGGGGCGGGGGGGCAGGGGGGGGTGGACAGGGGGGTAGCGTTTCGGCGCGACCGCACGCGGGGGGACAGGGGGAGCAGCGGGACCAATGGGAGCGTGACGAGCTATGTGAGAGAGGGCGCCGGCGGCGGACAGGTGATGATGCATACCTACCCGGCGTTGCATAAGTGATGTGTGCCTTTGTTGGCGGATCGCCTAAATCATGTAAAGTGTATGCTGGAGATTTGAACGGTATGACTGTCGTATGCGCAGGGCTCCTGCAGTGGGTATCTGATGAGTGATTTCGAGTCAGACAGGCTGCCTGGCACATGTACCCAATGAGCCGGTGAGACCGGTCTGCCACTGACCTTCACATAACGATCTCATATGGGCTCAGTCAGCATCAATTATTTTCATGAATACTCCGTGCATCAGATCTTTGCAATGCTCAAGCATGGCTCTCTATCCTTAAACATATGGCTGTGAACACCCGTTTCTGACCCACACACCTCTTGAGGTCTCAGCAAGAGAGAAGTGCGCGTGCTTTGAAGCGCCACTGGTTGAGCCGTGCTGTTCAAAATACGCCATCATTCATGAGATGCTATG